CCAACCACCACTGGTTGGATGACCTTCTCTGGGTTGACCACCTCCCTTGGGCTGGTTGACCATCACCACCTTGGTTGACCCTTGTTGGGTTGACCAACCACCACTGGTTGGATGACCTTCTCTGGGTTGACCACCTCCCTCGGGCTGGTTGACCATCACCAGCTTGGCTGACCTTTGGTTTGGCCAACCATCACTGGTTGGGCAACCCTTACTGGTCTGACCACCTCCCTTGTGCTGGTTGCCCCTTGGGTTGGCCAACCATCAGCAGGTGAGTGACCTTCACTGGGTTGACCACCTCCCTTGGGCTGGTGACCATGACCACCTTGTTTGCCCCTTGGGTTGCCCAACCACCATTGGTTGGATGACCTTCATGGGTTGGGTGATCCTTAGCTTCTTCACTCCTAATTGGGCATCTCCTATTGGTCCTTGCAGGATGGCCACCAGTGACGGGTGTTGGGCAACCACCTTTAGTTGCTCACCCTGCTTGACTTAACCTTCTCCACGTGGGTTGGAGGACATGTCCACCACCGTCCCATGACCTCAAGGCCACCCATAGGCCACCGCCGCCACAGGTCTTGGTCCTTGGCAGATGACAGAGTGTTTGGGGGCTGGTGGGACCTCAGGAACAAAGATGTCACCTCCTGTGGCTGACCCTGGAGGACAGGAGACATCTGACCTTGACCTTGAGATCTTTTTTTGGGGGGGGGAGGAAGGGCAGCTTGAAAGGACCACGTTTCCCACCAACCGTCACAAGGCTTTAATATCTCCTCTCTTCCCACCCACCTTCTCACCACCTTCACCAGGTGACCCCCGGCTCTACCCACCAACTTCTACCGCGGCTTCTCCCTCCTGGGAAGGGGGAGGTCAAACGATGGGGACCACCTGCCGTGGTCCTCTCCTCTTCATCCCATCTTGAGGACTTGGTGGTTGTGGGGAACGTCCCACTAGTTGTCCTTCATGGTCTTCTGGATCCACTGGGCGTATCTACAGACCTTGGTGTAGACACCGGGTCTCTTGGGTTGCCCACATTTCTCCATGCCCCAGGACACGATACCTTGGAGGGTCCCGTTGCAAACCAGAGGTCCTCCGGAGTCGCCCTACGGAGAGACGGGAACGTGAACGGGGAGAGGTTCACCATTCTCTACTGGGTCATCCAACCCTTCTCGGCTTGGCCACCACCCCCAGAGCTTCACCCCACCGGCGTTGGGCTTCATCAGGTGGGGTGGCCTCTTTGGATTGGTCAATCGGTGGTGGGTTGGTTGGTCAGCGTTGGGTTGGCCAACTGCTGTTGGGTTGGCCAACTGCTGTTGGCTTGGCCAACTGCCATTGGCTTGGCCGGCCATCGTTGGGTTGGTTGGCCATCATTGGCTTGGCCGGCCATCATTAGGTTGGTCAACCGCCATTGGGTTGGTCAACCGCCATTGGGTTGGTCAACCGCCATTGGGTTGGTCAACCGCCATTGGGTTGGTCAACCGCCATTGGGTTGGTCAACCGCCATTGGGTTGGTCAACCGCCATTGGGTTGGTCAACCGCCATTGGGTTGGTCAACCGCCATTGGGTTGGTCAACCGCCATTGGGTTGGTCACCTCCAACTGGTTTGGTCAACCTTTTAGGGGTTGAGAACCTCCCACCGGGTTAACCGACATCATGACACTGGACTGGCCAACCCTTGAGGCGTTCCACCATCGATACGTCGGGTGATGGTCTCCCATCGGGTCACCTAATGCTTGGTGGCTTCTCTAACCACCAGTGGTTGGCCAACCACCTCAGTAGGTTGCCCAAATGGTTTTGGCTCTTCCAACCAATGTCGAGTTGGCTTATTCCATTGTGTTGGACAACTCCATTGCGTTGGCCAACTGTTGTTGGGTTGAAGACCGTCAGTGGGTTGGCCAACCACCCCAGTAGGTTGCCCAAATGGCTTTGGCTCTTCCAACCAATGCCAAGTTGGCCAACTCCATTCCGTTGGCCAATTCCATTGCGTTGGCCAACCCTCATTGAGTTGAAGACCATCAGTGGGTTGGCCAACCACCCCAGTAGGTTGCCCAAATGGCTTTGGCTCTTCCAACCAATGTCAAGTTGGCCAATTCCATCGTGTTGGCCAACTCCATTGTCTTGGCCAACCCTCATTGAGTTGAAGACCATCACCAGGTTGGCCAACCCTCATCGAGCTCCTGAGCTCCTTGACCATCAGAGGAAGACCCCACGGTGATGCCACATCCCCTGGTGTCCCCAAGGGCCACCTCGGAGACAGCCCTGCCTCGCGCCCCCCTCCATCGCCGACGGTAGAAGAGGACATTTGGAACGTACCTGACAGGAGTCCCTACCGCCTTGGAGGCTGCCGGCGCACAACATGTTCTCGGTGATGGAACCGGGGTACAACCGCCGGCACTCGGCCATGGAGAAGATGGTGACGTTGACGCACTGCAAGACGTCCGGGTAAGTGACTGAGACGGGAACCGGGAGGGGACAGGGACAGGGAGGGGGAGAAGAAAGAAACCAGAGCAATCGACCCAGGAACCGGCAACAATCTGGTCCCACCACCCCAAAAACCTCAAATGTGGTCCCACCACCTCAAAACCCCCCAAATGTGGTCCCACCACCTCAAAACCCCCCAAATGTGGTCCCACCACCTCAAAACCCCCCAAATGTGGTCCCACCACCTCAAAACCCCCCAAATGTGGTCCCACCACCTCAAAACCCCCCAAATGTGGTCCCACCACCTCAAAACCCCCCAAATGTGGTCCCACCACCTCAAAACCCCCCAAATGTGGTCCCACCACCTCAAAACCCCCCAAATGTGGTCCCACCACCTCAAAACCCCCCAAATGTGGTCCCACCACCTCAAAACCCCCCAAATGTGGTCCCACCACCTCAAAACCCCCCAAATGTGGTCCCACCACCTCAAAACCCCCCAAATGTGGTCCCACCACCTCAAAACCCCCCAAATGTGGTCCCACCACCTCAAAACCCCCCAAATGTGGTCCCACCACCTCAAAACCCCCCAAATGTGGTCCCACCACCTCAAAACCCCCCAAATGTGGTCCCACCACCTCAAAACCCCCCAAATGTGGTCCCACCACCTCAAAACCCCCCAAATGTGGTCCCACCACCTCAAAACCCCCCAAATGTGGTCCCACCACCTCAAAACCCCCCAAATGTGGTCCCACCACCTCAAAACCCCCCAAATGTGGTCCCACCACCTCAAAACCCCCCAAATGTGGTCCCACCACCTCAAAACCCCCCAAATGTGGTCCCACCACCTCAAAACCCCCCAAATGTGGTCCCACCACCTCAAAACCCCCCAAATGTGGTCCCACCACCTCAAAACCCCCCAAATGTGGTCCCACCACCCCCAAACCCACCCCAAACGTGGTCCCACCACCCCAAAATCCTCCCTCCCCCTTTTCCCACACCCCCAGGAGAAGAAGGAGTCGTGTCTGTGTCCCCCCCCTTCTCCCGGTGACTTCTCTTGAGGATGTTTTCTTGGTTTTGGGGAGAAAAATGAGCTTTTTTTTTGGGGGGGGGAGGTGTTGAAGAACATCACCCCATGGAGACACACCCCACGGCGGGGGGAGACCTTCTCCCGTGAGGAGGACCCCAAAAACCACCTCTAATTTTTTTTTGGGGGGGAGGTGCCTTCTCCGAAAGTCTCTCGTATTTCCCTTCGTGGCATTTCCCTTTCATTTCTCCCCTCAATTTAATTTTAAATTATGACTTTTTTTTATCCATTTTCAGCTTTTTTTTTTTTTTTTTTTTTTTTTTTCCACCCTTCTGGAGTTATTTTTACGTTCAATTTTATTCTCCGCATGATTAGAACGGGATTGGTTTGAATTCGATAAGAACACGTGTCCAGACCTGGACACACATGTTCTCCAGATCTGGACACGTGTTCTCCAGACTGGACACGTGTGTCCTCCAGACCTGTTCCAGATGTTCAGGAGACCATGCAGATGTTCAGGAGAATATCTGGATGTCCAGAAGACCATGCAGATGGTCGGGAGAGGACCCAGGTGTCCAGGAGACAACCCAGATGTTCAGGAGACCATCTGGATGTCCAGAAGACCATCCAAGATGGTCAGGAGAGGACCCAGGTGTCCAGGGGACCACCCAGATGTCCAGAGACCATGTGGATGTCCAGAAGACCATCCAAGATGGTCGGGAGAGGACCCAGGTGTCCAGGAGACCACCCAGATGTCCAGGAGAGGACCTAGGTGTACATGAGAGGACCTAGGTTTCCAGGAGGCCACCCAGATGTCCAGGAGAGGACCCAGATGTCCAGGAGGACACCCAGATTCCAGGAGAGGACCTAGGTGTCCACAAGAGGACTTGAGTGTCCATGAGAGGACCCAGGTTTCCAGGAGGCCACCCAGATGCCCAGGAGAGGATCTAGATGTCCAGGAGAGCACCTAGATATCCAGGAGAGGACCCAGATGTCCAGGAGAGGACCCAGATGTCCAGGAGGCCACCCAAATGTCCAGGAGCAGACATAGGTGTCCAGAAGAGGACCTAGATGTCCATGAGAGGACCCAAGTGTCCATGAGAGGACCCAGATTTCCAGGAGAGGACCCAGTTGTCCACGAGCAGACCCAGATGTCCAGAAGAGGTCCTAGATGTCCAGGAGAGGACCCAGGTGTCCAGGAGAGGACATGGGTGCCCAGGAGAAGACTCAGGTGTCCAGGAGAGGACCCTGGTGTCCACAAGGGGACCCAGATGTCCAGGAGAGGACCCAGGTGTCCATGAGAGGACCCAGATGTCCACAAGAGGACCCATGTGTCCAGGAGACCACCCAGATGTCCAGACAAGGATGTAGGTGCCCAGAAGGGGACTTGGGTGTTCAGGAGAAGACCCCGAGTATCTATGAGAGGACCTAGACCTCCTGGAAGGGGACCCAGACCTCCAGAAGGGGGACCGAGGACCTCATGAGAGGTCCAAGGTGCCAAGGAGATGACCCAGATGTCCATGAGGGAAACCCACACCTCCAGGAGAGGACCTAGACCTCTTGAAAGGGGACCCAGAACTCCTGGAAGGGGACCCAGACCTTTTGGAAGGGGACCCAGACCTCCTGGAAGGGGACCCAGACCTCCAGGAGAGGACCTAGACCTCTTGGAAGGGGACCCAGACCTCCTGGAAGGGGACCCAGACCTCCAGGAGAGGACCTAGACCTCTTGGAAGGGGACCCAGACCTCTTGGAAGGGGGACCCAGACCTCCTGGAGGTGGACCCAAGCAGCCAGAAGAGGCCCCGGTGTACTGGGTACCTTCTGGAGAGGTGGTGGCCCCCCATCCCGAGGTGGTGCAGGTGGTGCCGGGTTCTGGGAGGCAGGAGGCCACGGGGATGGGTTGGATCCTGCTGGTGAGGGTGACGGGGGTCAGGAGCTTCATCATCATGATGTCGTTGTCCTTGGTGGTGGGGTCGTAGTCGGGGTGCGACACCAACTTCTGCACCATCTTCTGCACCTCGCCCCACTCCCGCGTGTAGAGGTTGTGCTTGCCCAGGCGGATGGTGGTGATCCTACGGCAAGACAGGAGGGACGGGTGGGACACGGACACGTGGGGACTGCGGCGTGGCCGTGACACGTGTGGCGTGAGGCCAGGACATGCCTGAGACACGGCATGGCCCCTGAGTGGAACAGGGAGACCACGGTGCGGCCACAGCACGCGGTGGGATGCAGAGTGGGCGGGACATGTGTGGGACACGTCATGGCCCATGTGTGGGACATGGGGTCTCCAGCATGGCCAGGACACACGTGGGACATGGGTTTTGCAACATGGCCAGGACACGTGTGGGACGTGGCATGGCCCACGTGTGGGACACGGGGACTGCAGCATGGACAGGACACGTGTGGGACGTGGCATGGCCCACGTGTGGGACACGGGGTCTCCAGCATGGCCAAGACATGTGTGGGACACGGTGTGGCCCACATGTGGGACACGGGGACTGCAGCATGGACAGGACACGTGTGGGACATGGCACGGCCCACGTGTGGGACACTGGATCTCCAGCATGGCCAGGACACATGTGGGACATGGCATGGTCCACATGTGGGACACGGGGACTGCAGCATGGACAGGACACGTTTGGGACATGGCACGGCCCACGTGTGGGACACTGGATCTCCAGCATGGCCAGGACATGTGTGGGACACGCCATGGCCCACGTGTGGGACACAGGTTCTGCAACATGGCCAGGACACGTGTGGGACATGGCACAAGCCCACGTGTTGGACACGGGGTCTGCAACATGGCATGGCCCACGTGTGGGACACAGGGTCTCCAGCACGGCCAAGACACGTGTGGGACACTGCATAGGAGACGCGTAGACCCCCACGAACCACCGCATGGCCGTGACACACCTGTGGGACCACACCGCGGGACACCCGTGGACCGCGCAGACCGTGACACGTGGGATCGGGGACCCGCCAGGACACCAAGGGTTGGGTGGCCCATCCCGCTGGTCGTGAGCCGCGTGGGGCATAGCCATCACCCCCTCCCCTCCTTGTCCCCCTTACCCCGGCGTGGTGCAGTGGGCCGCCGTCACCACCCACTGCCTGGCCACCAAGACGCCGCCGCAGTAGAGCTTGTACATGTCCAAGATGGCCGCCTGCCAAGGCTGCGAGTGGGGCTCGCAATCCATGCCCCCCACCACCCGCGTTTCACCCGCCGCCGGCGACCCTGCGAAGGGAAACCGCCCCC